AAAGGCAACTCCATAGATTTCTCTTGAAGAGAGGGCAAATCATCTTTGTACTGGCCATAGTAATTGCGCCGCAGATCTGCCGCAAACTCGATAACATCATCCTAAGTTGCCAAAATGGAAATCTATACTAGACCATGATCCAGGCTTCAATGCCCTGTATATATATAGATAAAGCATTTAAAAAAAGGTCAAACCACTACAAGTTTCCCTTTCCATTGGTAATTCTTCTTCCTCTTGTTCGGCGTCCACCTCCACACGTTGCCGTTTTGCCAATGGTACCTTTGTGGATGAACATTCAAAAAAATAAAGTAAACCATTTTCATCAAAAAATGAATCAGTTTTTTCCAGATCCCACTGCGAGGTGCCATGCATTCGGTCTCCACCTCCGATGTCAAATATTCCTCCTCAGGATCGTGAGTGCTGCGAAGCTCTTCAGAAGCCTGTGATGGAGGGCATGACATGACATAAATGGTAAACAAACAGGTGATGATTTTGCTAGGCATTTGGTACATTTTGGGACCACCAAAAAACAAATCCACAGTCATCAAAGCAACATGTTTGGTGATCCTCCGCTGCAGCGCCAAAGGAATGTTCGAATAAGGTGAGCCCTCCATCACAGCTGCCAGACATCTAGACATTAGTGCTTGAGCCACAATATAGTCCACAATATATATAGCAGCATGCACGTCGCACACACCACCTTTGAAATGGAATCAACCCTCACCATTCTCAATGACCCATCCCCTGCAGTACCCAACAGCAGATATCCGCAGTTGCGCCTCGGGCAAAAAGGAGCAAGGACGCCCCCGCGGCCGCGGCCCCGCGAGCCGGTTCATAAGAATATGAGGGAACCATGGTACATTGGTAGCTTCACTGCATTTACAGGCAATGACCATTGCATGTGCGGTTGCCTGTGTATATTTGACAAACACTATAAACCCATATTTATATATATATGATATATAGAAAGCCTAGCTGCGAAAAGATCGGCGAGCGGACAGCAAGTGCAGGGACCTTCAATTTATACATGTAATGTGTGCAGCTATATCCACCCAAAAACATATATAACAAAAACATTCAACATATATATATATATATAGCATAGCGAGGGTTCTCTAATTGCATGGATTGTCCAACAATCCATGCAAAATATTATGTTTTCCTTTGATTTCCTTTGCAAAGCAAGTGGCATCATTGGAAGGTTGCCACATTCAATATTGTTTTCCTTTGATTTCCTTTGCAAATCATTGGAAGGTTGCCACATTCAAGATTTCACGGCATTTCTCGTACATTTGGCTGTCTGGCAAGATCATGTACATATCATCCATACGTGCCATGTACAAGATCATCCTGTACAAACGCATGTCTAGGTTCTTCACGAATTTCCAGTTTCCTATGGTCGAGGATATTGTCAATGCTGCCCCGTTCAATGCATTTCCTGTGTGGCTGCACAACAGGCACTATGAGACCGATGGGCCCTTGGGTCCACATTTGGCCGACGCTCAAGTCCGCCAGACTCTCCGTACTGCCGAAGGTCAGCAGGTGGGTGCACTGAACCAGCGCGCAGCACTTCCGCCGCTGCTATCCTATGACCTCAGCCCGGACGAGCGCTTCGCCCAAGCGTTGGAGCGAGGCCGCGATTTGCTACCCACCAACAGCAGTGCTGGACCTGGACCTAGTATTTGCCGCTGACTGCCATACTCGCTACCGAGGCCGTCTACGAGATCTTCGCCGTACAGCAGTGGGGGCACTGCGGGAGCTCCATCGGCGTTGGTGTGCCGTAGGGCGACGTCTGCGGCAATTTCAACCTATCGCCTTGCAGGCTACCACGGCCACTCGAGACCTCGGCTTCGTTGCACTGTTGATCTTGTTGACTTCATGGCCTGATGTTACATACCCATTCGGGCTTATTGAAGGCCTCCCAGCGGTGGGCTACGCGTCGTGCTACGGGGTCTTTCCATCTCAACCTGCCGATCGTATTACTCTCACAGAGGTATTGTCGGGATGCGATGCGCACAATCACCAGATCTTGTCCACCCTCAAGCCGGGCAAAGATGATCAGTTCCTGCTGGAACAGTCTACAAAGGATGCAGCACGGGGCTTCTGTACCCCCCCTAGTTGCGTCAGCAGCTGCATGGGCAGCCGTATCGTTTGATACCACGCTGTGTGATTACCCAATCCTCGGGTAAGCAGCGTATTATCGACAATGCCGATGCTGGAGGACGGACCCTGCGGTCATCCGATGCCAACAAGCTGGTGCTCTGCTCGCCCCTCAGACCGGCCCAACACATCAGCCAAGTCCTACGCCACATGAGCCCACCCGAGCTAGCCCAAGCAGCGGCTACTGACACCTGGGAGTCAGGCGGGGAAGATTGGCCGGATGCCTATCGGCACAGTCCTATGGGGGTCAACGAAACGCGAGGATGCGTAGTCACTTTCTGGCACCATGAATGGGCTGCTCCAGCCTTCCAAGTCTATGCTGGTCTGCTTTTTGGTCTTCCTCTTGCCGTGACCTCGTTTAACCGATACAGCCGGCTTGTGGAAGCCCTCGGGCGGCGTTTGTGCTACGTCTTGGTCTCGCTCTACTTTGACGATGCTTCCATTCAAGACTGGTCTTCGAGCCGGGGGTCGGCTCAATGGGCCTTTGGTGTCTTAAACCAACTTCTGGGCACCCCCTTTGCGGAGGAGAAGCGCCAGGCTATGAACCCCAAAGGCTTATTTTTAGGCCTGGACCATGATCTTTTTGCCGCCCTTTCAGGAGGCTACGTCTCTTTTTGTGCGAGGGAACGGCTGGAATCCAAGTTGAAGGCCATTATCCATGAATGCCGCGAGACGCACACTCTCAAGCCTGGTGTCGCAGCCAAGCTGTACGGACTAGCCAACTTCTTCGAACAGGGCGTCTACGGACGGATTGGATGTGGAGGCCTCCACGCCATTAAAGAGCGCCAACTTGTCCGAGGTGATCAGCTGACTCCCGCAATTGAACAATGCTTCCAAATTCTTGAAGCCGTGATCTCTATCCATCCAGAGCGTGAACTTGATGTCTGGCCACGACACCATGAACGCTTTGTTGCAGCGTCCGACGCTGCCTTGGAGACCCCAGGTGAAGGCACGGGTGGTTTTCTCCTTGTCTTCTTCCACGAGGACGTAGAGCTCCGGCTTGGGTTTGTGTCTTACCTCCCCTCATCCATCTATGACCTATGGACGCCAGGGGATGCCAAGATAGCACAGCTAGAGCTTGACTACCACACCTGAGCGATTCCGTAATCGCCGCGGCACATGGTACATTGACAACACTGCTGCTTAAATGGCGCTCATCAAAGGCAGATCAGACAGTCCTGACCTCGAACATATGAGTCACATGATTCATATTCTTTTGTTTTCACTTCGATGCTGGATTTACTTTGAGTGGATCCCCTCCAAAAGTAATTGGAGTGACGCGATTTCCCGTGATGGACACGCGGATAGATGGCACCACGACCAGGGTTTCACTAGTCGAGCGGCCACATTTTTCGATCCACTCTGGTATTTTCCCTTGTCCGTCACTCTGCGAGTCAGTCTCTTTCTTTAAAGTGCGTTGGGAGAAATGCATTGGGTAGATACATCGCTATGGATACGTCTTGGTGGACGGGTCTCCA